TTGAGAGCAGCCCTGCCAAGAAGGACTTGGGGGTACTGGTGGATGAAAAGCTGGACATGAGCCAGCAATGTGCGCTCGCAGCCCAGAAGGCCAATCGTATCCTGGCCTGTGTCCAAAGAAGCATGGCCAGCAGGTTGAGGGAGGTGATTCTGCCTCTCTACTCTGCTCTGGGGAGACCCCACCTGGAGTACTGCGTCCAGCTCTGGAGCCCTCAGCATAAGAAAGACATGGACCTGTTGGAGCCGGTCCAGAAGAGGGACACAAAAATGATCAGGGGGATGGAACACCTCTCCTGTGAAGAAAGGCTGAGAGAGTTGGGGTTGTTCAGCCTGGAGAAGAGAAGGCTTCGGGGAGACCTTATTGCAGCCTATCAGTGCTTAAAGGGGGCTTAGAAAAAAGATGGCGGCAAACTTTTTAGCAGGGCCTGTTATGACACGACAAGGGGGAATGGCTTTAAACTAAAGGGGGGTAGATTTAGACTAGATATAAGGAAGAAATTGTTTATGCTGAGGGTGGTGAAACACTGGCACAGGTTGCCCAGAGAGGTGGTGGATGCCCCATCCCTGGAAACATTCCAGGTCAGGCTGGACGGGGCTCTGAGCAACCTGATCTAGTTGAAGATGTCCCTGCCCACGGCAGGGGGGTTGGACTAGATGACCTTTAGAGGTCCCTTCCAACCCAAACTATTCTATGATTCTATGATTCTATGATATTTACACTGTCAAATAAATAAATTATGAACCTCATAAAGATACTTAGCCTATCGCTCAACACAAAGAGTTGTCATTTTTATGTCCTCTGTATCTGTGAACAACGTCTTTCTGGAGCTACAGTGAGCAAATATTGCAATGACAGTTACCTTCTTTTGTACTTTTGATCAAGTCAGGGTTTCTTCGAAAAAGAGCTGAGGTCATGAATATGTTATTCTTCTTTACTACAGAACAAGGAATTTAAACTTTAATAATGATCAATAACAAATTTTAATTATTAATTCATGTTTCTGTAAACCCCCCCTGTTTTGGTAGTACCTGAGCAATATTCCAACCTACCCATCGAAACAAGATCTCTGAGGTAACTCTTAGTCTCCATTTTATAGGTGGGTAGTCTTAGGCACAGAAAGCACCATGGGTTTTCTGGCTGTGTCAGAGACAGAAGTCTTTTGGATATTAACGGATGTTTTAAACTCATAAAATCCTTCTTCAGCTTTGAAAACCAAGGTTTGCTGCTGGTTTGCAAAAGCTATTGAAATGGCAATGCTATCTGGTCCAGTCTTAGACATTTTTAAGATGAGTAAATGAGGCTCAAGAACATGGGAATAAGTGAATGTGCCCTTCCCTGTTCTGGTAAAAAGGCTTTCATAACTTACTATAATGATGGCAGCGCACTGCTGATGCTTTCACTGTTTTAATAAAGATACCAAACACCAGCCAGAAAGTAATGGCAACCATGTACCACGTACTGTAAAATGACACAACTGATACTCTACACACAACCACT